TAAGAGACAGAGAGGAAGAAAAAAAAACGAAAAACTTTTATTAATTAATTTAGAACCCTGTAAATATTCAAATTAATAAGTTAGAGAAATTTTTGAAGTACTCAATAATATTTGTTAAAATTGGCAAAGTATTAGCTTATTATTATGTTAATCGTAAACCATATCGATCAGTTGTAATGTTGATCTAACATTTAAATTTAACTAAATGAAAATTTTAAGCTAAAAAGTTAAGATAATAGAATTTATTTGCTAAATTTTTTTCAAGTATAGTTGATTTTTGAACATTAATATAGCTTACAAATCAGACAAATAAATTTTGAAATTTAGAAATGTAAAAGTGATTAACACATATCATAAAAATTTCTGACATTAATTATACAATTTCGAAGTTTTTTTTTTCTTTTTTTCTTAGTGAAATAGATTCATTGGAAATGTCGATTGTCCAAAAAATAACAACATTTTAACTTAGAAGTTAAAATGTCACTGTTTATGTTCACTTTAATCTGCTCTCAACAAACTTATCATATTCGAAATCTTTTATCAGCTGAAATTGTTTATGGCAATCATAAGTAACATTCGTCGGTAAAAGATTTCAAATATGATAAGATGGAATAGCAATGAAACTATACCTAACACTGATCTCAATCAGTAGGAAATTGGAACAAAACACAAAAGTTAATAAAGTTAGTAAATTAAGAGATGATAAAGTTAAGAGATGATGAAGTAATAATGTATAATATTTTAATTTTTTTTTTTAAGAATTTTTTATATCGAATAAATTTCTGAAATTGTTTGAAGCAAACAAAAAATGTAAACAAATTCATTTCAAAGCTATTAAGAAATGGATGAAAGATCGATCAGCAATTATTCATTTATACGATATTTTTGTGGTACCTTTTGCCTTTATAAATTTGAATTAAAGCGAAGGAATGGAAAAAAATTTTTGCTAGAAATAAACTATCACGCGATGCATTTAAAATGAAAAAGAAAACGACTGATTCAAGAATCTAAAAATATTTATCAGCCATTTTTCTTATTTCTTTTTATCTATTTAATAATATGAAATATACATAATTTATTACACCTCAAAATTAATTTTTCAAAATTGGTGTGACATTTATGTGAAAAATGTTCAAAATGTATTATTAGATATAGAGAAAGAATGTATCGGTTAAGAAATTTAATTTTATACCAGCATTATTTGCTTTTATCTTTGAATTATGATTAAAATTGAAATTTTAAAAATGAATGAGTGTAATTATTACAATTACATTCCGTTTTGAAGAACAAATACATAAAATGCTGAGACGATAATTTCTGTTTATACATCCAAACCTGCTTGAAATAGCAACAAAATAAAATAGAATTTGAAAAATACCAGCACAAACGTCATTACTTATAAAATTAAAATTTTAACTTCATAAAATATTCTCATACATTTTTAATTATCGAATAGTTGTTGTAAAATTCACCAATATTATTTCTCAAAATAATACAGAATAGTTATTATTATTATTATTACTATTAATACGTCGATAGTTAGTTTTTACATGCTTAAAAAGCTTTTCTATTCCTTAATTTTATGTTTACATTATTTATCATAAAATTGACTAAAAAAGCAAATGATAAGTGCATTCATGTAATGGATCAATGATTCAATATTTAAATAAATTTTGCTGAAACTAAGTTGAAATGGAAAATTTTGCCTCTGAGAGAAATAAAAGCGAATCAAATTAGATTTAGAGAGAACGAAATGCATCATCAGTAAATGTAATTCAAAATTATATTACACAATATAAATTGAGATTTCTCAGTTTCTCCACATCTGAACCAGAAATTGAAAGCAATCCAACAACGGTATCCTAAATATGACATTATTATTACGAAGTAATGCTTAATAAAAATTTGCACATTTTTAATTAGCTTTGTCAATTTTACATAAAAGTCTAATATAATGAAATTAAACTGATGAAAGTTACCATAAATAAGAAAAAGAAAAGAAAATGTATTTCATTAATTTAAAGTATAAATAATTATGTAGAATGTAACAATCAATACCTTTGATGTATTTTAATTAACCATAAATAATTTTAAATCAATTTTGGGAAACAATAAATGAATTTGTAAATAGAGCGTAATAATTTCAAAATTGTGTATCCATCTCTGTCATCTTTCTAAACTATTGCTAAGCAATTAACTCTTCATCAATTTTCAACTTCATCAGTTTCCTTCGTCCTTCAATATTTCAACGGAAATTGGAACCAATAATAGAATGTCAACTAATAATATACCAATAAAATTTTTTTCATCCAAACTAGAAGTTAAAAAAAAAAAAACGATTTTGAAGCATTTTATCAAAGCATTTAAAAATTACAGAAGGAACACGTGAAAAAACGCAGAAGTACCGATACATCTTCTAGATAATAAAATATTCATCACATAACTAATCCTATAATTGAATAATTAATAATTAAATAATGAGTAATTATTCAAATGGAATATCATTTGTTGATCAAAAATTTTCTAATTTCAATTCATTCGATTGGATTACAGCGTTTTTTTTATTGCAATAAAGTAACGTACACTAATTTCCAACAGCATTGATAGATGAAGAGAAATTTATATAACTTTAATTAATTATAAATAAATTCCAATTGCAATTTTAAATTATAATATCACTTATAAAAAAAAAAAACTCTTTATCAAGCAAAAAGAAAAAAAAAAGCACGAAATAATTTCTACTTCTTTCTTTTTTTTGAGAAAACAGCACAAATATTTATGCATATAAACTTTTTTTTTCCGTAGTTTGATTCCATAATTTTTCGATGCACAAAATGTCGTCCAAAGTGAATATTTTTTTAAACAAAAAAAGAAAAAAAAAGAAAAAAAACAGCATACAAAATTTATAAATCCTCTTCCAATTTATATTTTTCTTTTACTATTTTGTATTAGGATTACTTTTTTTTTTTTTTTCTTTTTTTTTTTGAAGTTTGCTAAAAATGTGACACTTTTTATTTTGGAAAGACAATATCCCATTGATCTTATATTTTTTTTTGTAATAAAAAAAAAAAGGAACTGGAAGAAGAAAAAAGAGAAATTCTCAAGAGTATATTTATTTCACAATCAATAACTGAATTGTTCCATTTAGTAAATATGAAACTTTTCCAATGAAATATTAGATGAGAACCCTTTAGTTGTTTATCTAAGAAGCAGTTTAATTATATGTATTATTAATCATTTGAAATCATATTTATAATTAATAATTGAACTTTAAATGTTTATAAATAATTTTGCTTTCAAATAGCAAAAATCAATAATAAAAGAAAAAAAAAAAGAAAAAAAACGAAGATTTTTTGTCTATTATTGGAAGATAATAAAATTTTATGTTACTTTTAAAATTATTCTTCGGAAAAAAAGAAAAACGGTAGAAAGGAAAACTGAAAAAAAAAATTGATGTAATATTTCAAATCAATCAATTTCCATTAATTGGAACTTTCTGTACATTTTCTTATTTATCATAATCATACTAAATTATAAACTTCGATGTTTTTAAAACAAATACATTTCGTGAAAAAATTATTATTGATAACATAGTGATAAAAAATGTACGCATAGTTCTCAATATATTATCCAATGTATCAATACTATATAATACTACATTTACATATCCTGAAAATCGGAATTTATAACTGAATGATAAGCATATATGATTACTAATTTGTTTCCATCATATTATCTTTTTATCATTATAATTTGATGAATTACAATTTACTTTTTAACCATTCTCAATTATCACTAGAAAGTATTTGTTAAGATATCAAATTTACTAATTAATTTTTGTCCTCTATCAATACTTTTTTTGCTCATATTTATTCGGTAAATTATTATTAATTAAATATCTTAATTAACAAGCAAATTAATCTCATAAATGATTGTAAATGTTTGTTTGTTTTATTTCCAGATGAAATTTGAATTTAAAAATGAATACAGTTACTTTATAAACTCGAATTTCTGCTCAAAATTTGACATCGTTTTTCTTTTTTTGAATAAAAATTTCTTGAATTAAGAGGAACTTGTAATTATTCAAATTTTTGTCTTTTTTATTTGGAATGCTTTTCAGGATTTAACGGAAAAAAAATGCAACGACCATGCTCTTTTGTAATGTAAATATGAATTTTATTATTCGTTGAGATGTTAGTTCATAGGTGACGTGACGTAAATAAATGACGTGAAATAAATTAGAAATTACTTATTAAGAATAGTAAGTGATTTAGAAGTATATACTTGTATGTTTTGCGTGATAATAACGTAGAAATGCTTCCGAATTGCAATTTTGCACGTTAGCATCTAAACAGGCTAACGATACTTTTGACTATTGATTGGCGCGCGTGCGTAACACTGTTGCAATCTGTCATAATCTGCTGTAGTTGCTAATATCAATGTTGCTAAGAAATATTTCATTATTTCAATAAGTTTACTGGTAATGATATTATTATTTTGAAGATATGTATGAAATTTATTTCCAAAACTAAGCTTACAGTTACTGTTTCATATTTGAGAAATTATCCGAAAATGCTATCAGTTAACAATTCGTCGTAATCATATTATGATATACTTTGCAAATATGTTTAATCAGTATTTTATCATCACTTCTATCCAATATTCGATCTGTATTTTGTTCACTATTTCTATTTCTATACGATATAAAAGAATAACGTTATCATCATCATTATCACCATTATAAGGCTATAAAATGGATGAACAATTAGGCTTGCAGTACTAACTTGCATTTTATCTTCAGAAAATCTACTTCAGACAGTGAAGAAGTAAAACAGTATTTTTTAACAACCAACTGTTCATTTTCATTCTCAGGTAATAAATCATAATTAATTAGTCAGTCATTATTTTCTACTTATCGATATTTAAATTCATTTTGTTAGCGAAATCCTTTAGATTATTAACAAGATAAAGCATATTCAGGAACAAATAAGATACAAACAATGAATGATGATAGCTGTGATAGCAGTTTTGGTGATGATCACTTCAATACGGATAAGACATTTGAAAGACGTTACACAAACAAGAAGAAAATAAAGGAATACCTGCAGAAATGGAAAGGATACAGCTGCATGAATGATGTTTCAAAGCTTGAAGACTTGGTACTTTTTTATTTTTAAGTATCTTAAATATTGTTAAAATCTTTCATTCATTTCTTGACTGATGTGATGAATTGAATAATAAGACCATTCTACCAAAACGATTACGACTTATTCATATTCTTTACCTCCAAATCTTTCGACAAAAATTATACGTAATAATATGGAACGGTAGCAAATCCATCCTATTTCAGTCTTACGTGTTTCTAGGGTAACTTATGTTTTAGTCCTTGTATTATATGACAACTTTACTTGATCATTTGTTAATTTTATATTAATATTGACGGCAATAAATTACTTTTTATGATTAATTTCCGCTCTTAAAGAAAAGGAAAAAAAAAAACTTCGTTATTACGTTATTCTGCAACTTACACTTAACTCTAGGTCACTTTTTTTGGATAATAAGACAGTTATAGTTAGCATAAATATGTTGTTTATTCGCTGCTATTTTTTAAGCGTATTTGAAATTATATCAATTTTAGGAGTACGATTCCATAGTACTAGATTATAATGTTCAAAAGAAGTAAGTCCCTTTCTTGACTTATTTTCAAATTTATTCTATGATTAAGAAATAAATGGAATGTGTTTGATTTGGATCCAATTGCTAAACCTAAATGTTGCAGTAATGTTGCAGGGAACAAAATATACCATTTTTTTTTTTCTTGGAGGTAACAAGAAGCTATCCTGAATCATTTTTTGCAAATCCTTTTACGTCCTTTTGAAATTGTGCTATTTTATTAAGTCAGCGATAAATTTTTGATATATGATCAATATATGTAGTATTGTGGAAGATTTGAACAAAGTTATGAGAGGGGAAATGTTATTTTAGTCGACACCGATGATTTACATTGAAACAATATTACGAAAATTCACTAAAGATTGTTCTAAGGACACATTCTTGACTATCATATCACCACTAAAATGCTTCAATTCGCTGATTTACTATATAGTCATTGCAGAAACAAGGATGCAACCAGTTCAAAATTACAGAAGTCACAGTTAGGCGCATCTGGTTCAAGCTATGTCAAAAGATCTACTTACACTATTCCATGTAATTATCTTGCGGATAAGGCTAAGCCTATCCATCGTAAAACCAAGGAAATCAAACAACCCGTTTATCCAAAAAAAACGGTGGATAAGAAGAATGGTTCTGATACTTCAAACGAAGGTGATAATGAATTTAAAATTGTTTATGCACCTCCGGTTACATTAGATATTACCATATTTCATTTAGTTTCCATTTCTCCAGTAAAAAATGTAAAAGTCGCTCGTTGCAACAAAGTTTGGTTTTTTATTTTTATGATAATTGCGGATAACAGTTAGTAAAACTAATGTCTTATTTTTCAGTTCTAGCGTCAAATGGAAGTGGAATAGAGAAAGAATGTGTTCATGAGTCAGTCGTGCCAACTTCTGTTAGTTCGATGAACTTTGTATTTTCGAAATTGTTGATAGAAAACATAAATATGATAAAATACAGATAGGAGAATATTATTCATATTGATAAACAATATTGATTTAAAATTTCTAGCAAGAATCAGTCTTTCATGATCGTTCATTCTTACGCTTTTCTACAACACACACACACAAGTTATAAATAATATACCTCAACTAAATAACTTAATTTGTGGATTTAACTTAAACACTTCATTAATTATAGCTAGCCGACATTGATTTTTCTCTTATGTTGTTAAATATAGACATAAGAAGGAACTTGAGAGACTATTAAGTTCTATTTGTAAGACCTATTAGCCTAATGTAAGCTGCATCCTATTCATATTCTTTGATTTGAGAAGCTAATCATGATATTTTTAAATTTAAGTTTCTGTACATTAACAAAAAGTCGAGCAATCCAAAAATTCACTGGCATGAGAAACCATAAGTTTCGCTTCACAAATTTTCTTATAAAACAAGTGCGACTTATACCTGGCAAATTGGTTGACTATGTTGAGATAATCAACATCAAATTTTTGAAACCAAAGTTGATGTTTGAAGACAAATTTAATAATGAATAAAGATTTTTTTGCAGGTAATGGTAAGTTTATGTCAGCTCTGCTTGGGCGAAAAAAATGAGACATCAAATAAATGACAAGCCTGCCTCTGAATTTTGGCACATTTTAGACAACTAGTGCCGAATTACTGAAAGAATCTTTGGGAAAGCCTGATTTTTTAGGCTTTCTTCTGAGAAGTTTTTCAGAATATTGTATTATTTTCTTCTAATTGCTTGCCTTCTCTAACTGTAATAGCCCTGTATATACAGCCTCCAAAAATTCAACAAATGAAACACCACAAAATCTGAGTGTTTTTTCAAATTACTGGTGTCTCTTAATTTTAAGTCATAATTATTACCATTCAATCTTATATTTATGACTTTTTCTCTTCTTTCTATGTTCAGAATTAATAAAATTCTGTTCTCTTTCAAATTTAATTTCTGTTGTAAACTTTTGATGTGAATAAATGAATTTATTTACCTTAGTTTTGAATAATCGACAATTTAACAAGCAGGTAGTATATAAAAACAATTGATATTTTTGGAATTTCAATGTGCAATTGATGTACTTCAGGCCGAAATAATGTCTGAATAAAAAAAATAAAAGAATGTCTGAATAAAAAATATAGATGTTAACTAAACTATGAGAATACAGATGGACATTTATTGTCATCATAACGATACAAAAGAAAGACATGTGTAAGGGACGAGAAGAAGAGTAAAGTTTAGCAGAAACAATAAACATTTCCAAATCAGTCGAAACGAAAAAAGAACAATGAAACTGTTTGCATGCAGAGTAATGAAATTCAAATAAATTTGTATGCATTGAAATATATGCATCTACGAATTCAATCGTGCAAAACAAAAGGAAGCAATGAAGGAAAGGATTACTTAAATGTATTTTAGGTATGATAATCGAATACATACGGATTTTGAGATAGCAATTTAAAAAATTGTTAAGTCGAAGAAATGAAATGCTTGTTAATTAGTAATAACAATCCTTCCCTATTCTAACTTTGTCTTTCATGATTCTTTTCCTTTTGTATATTACTTATACCTAATATTTTCAATATGATTGAAAAAAATATAACTGTTTTGGAGTAAATTTTTGGGTAAATTTCGAGCATTAAATTTTATAATTTCATTGAGGCTAAAAGTGTGAAAGAAAAAAAAAACATTTATAAATTGGAAAAAATACAAAATGTGAAATTTGAAATAGCAACATTAAATATTGCTATTCCAGTGAATCATATGCTTTTAACAATTTTTCTTTATTTGTCTACTAAGGTTATTCATCAAATGTTTCATTCTTTTATACACTTTTTTTTTTTAATGAAAATGCTTTCATTTTTGTTTTCTCCAGAAAAAAAAAAACAAATTTTATTTATGTTATACAAAATATATAGGAAAAGGTAAAGTGAAAAAAAAGAAAGAAATTATAATTAAGAATGAAATCATGACTAAATACAAATCATTATTAAGAAATTATGATTACTTTGAATTTTTTGAATGATAATTTTTCATATTTTTCCAATTTAACTAACTGCTTTTTCTCCAATCAAACTTTTCTCTCCAAAGTCATTATTTATTATTTTATCACTTGCTGAAATTTTTAATTTCTTTTTTTTTGCTTCAATATGTAATAATAATGTTGAGAGTAGAATAATACCCAATATTTATTTTACCATTTCATTAATGAGATAGTCATAAAATAAAAATTCTGTCACTACTTAAATTTTAGTATACTTTAATTTTTCAAAAGTATACTTTTGAAAGTTTATGTCGATTATTTTTTTAACTTGTTAAAGTTGTGCTATTTTTGAATGATCAATGGCTAAATGACACAACAGATATGTCATGTCAATTTTGATCGATTGCTTAATTATAATCTTTTATTATTGCTTATAATTAAACGAACTAACGATATATGCAATAATATGCTATAAAATGTGTAAAGATAGTAAAATATTATTGCTTCTAATAGCTAATTAATCTTTTTCCAATTATTTGTTGACTTTCTCTTTTACCACTTATGTAATGTAAGAGTGAATTAATAATACTACCAATAATATCGTTATCATTCTTATCACCTTTGTTACTTACATTTGCCAGTAGTTGTGACCTTTAATTTTTGTAAAAAATTTGCAAATGATAATGCTATAGAGCAACAGATTACTAGAAAATAAAATTTGATAAGCATTCGAAGAGAAAGAAATTATCAAATTATTTTATCTGTAGATATCATGCCGATAACATTAGCATCAGATCAGATCTGATAGTCTTGCTATTTGTGAACAAAAACAAACTAAAAAGGTTTAAAATTTTTCAATAAAATTTTCAAGACAATGCAATTGGTCCATTTTTTGTCTTTCTATTATGATGTATCATTCAGATTTCTCTCAAATTTTCCAATTTTAATAGTTAATAATTTATGAGATAACATTTCTTCTGACGTTTCAAATTTTTGAAAACGGTAAATTACATTCAAGAAATAAGCTTTTTTATCATGACCCATCAACTAATTAGTAGCATAATTCATTTTTTGCTTCTCATTTACAGTCCTAACTGATCACAAAAATATTGAATGGCATAAAGTTCACTGCAGATAAACTTTCAATTTCAATTAATACTTCTAAAATGTGATTGTTTGATTTCTATAAAATAGAAATATCGAAATATTGGTGTTATTTTGATGTATTTTAGAATTTCTAAGAAGATTTTAAAGTTTTGTTTTGTTTTCTTTTTTTGTAGTAATCGATAACTTAGTTGATAATTTAATTCCATAACATCTAGAATTCTTGGAACTCTGTTTACGCAGTAGAATTTGTAATATAGAAAATATAACAAATGATGATTTTTCACTACAAATTGTGAAAGTTCAATTAATCAACGTATCATCAGGTCTATGAGAAATAAGAAAGAATGGGCAAGAAAAAGCTAAAATAGTACTAAAATTTTGCATTTTTTTGCATTTTCTAACATATCAGAAAAGAACTTCCAGGTCTATCCCTTCCCACTCATCCTTCTTTCATTTTTTTCAAATACAAATAGACGAAAAGAATAGCTGATGGAAATCATTCTGCATATGCTCATAGTAATAATTAACAATAATAATAAATAATAATAATAAATAACAATAATGATAATAATATATGTAATGCATAAAAGTAGTAGAAATATTTGACGCTGGATAAGTTTGCAGCAAATAATTTACTGTTTTAAATTTATGACAAGCAACTTTTAATTAAAATATGCTTCCATCAGAAATAATGTATAACGATGGATCGATTAAATTCCCATAAAGGAAGTAAAAAGTAAAACAAATCAACAAAAATATTTTATTTGCTTTCCTTCTATTCATGTAAAATCCACATACGACAAAAAAAATAAAATTATTGAATATGTATTGAAATTGAATAATATAAAAATAAAATTTTAACAGCGATAAATAAATGTAAAAAGACTGTAGTATAATGTTTTCATTTTTGCACTTTTTTTTTTTTTTATATTTAATTCTCATACATATCCAGTATGATTTAAAGAAAAAAAAATATATTTGGAATTCCTAAATCAAAAAAAAATATATATATATATGCGAAATGTGAAGATTTTAATTTAAAAAAAGACAAAGAGAGAGAGAGAGAGAGAGAAGGAAAGAAAGAGGGAATTATTCAACAGTAGTTAAGTTAGCTTTTCACTAATTCCTTAACTCTAAAAGTTAAAAAAAAGAGCTATCCGGTTTACATGCTTTTTTGTATAATTTTCATTCTCTGTATGGAAGATATGGTACTACAGGAACAAATAAAGCATGCAATTGAATTATTATTAACTTATAGTGGCGCAAAATGCTTGCTGTAATGCTATAAATCAAACCATTGCAAGTAGCATGCAATAACGGTTAGCTATTAATGCCATTAAATCTATTCCATAAATAATTGATCTAACTTTTACTTTTTTTTTTTCTTTTTTTTTCCCTCTTTCATTTTACATATTATAATTATAAAAGTTTAAGTATCAAATGGGCAGATGAAAAATTATCAAAATAATCTCAAAAATAAACCATGAAAGAATAAAATTTTCATTATATTTGGTTGGTGATTGGGAATGATATGGTGGCATTGGTTGAATTTTAGGTTGTATTGGAAATAACGTTCGTTTTGATGTAATCTGAAATTATGCATTATAAAAAATGTAATAAATCATTCAGTTACATTTATTTTCTTGCAAATGTAATCAACTGATAATTATTAAATGATAAGACTACCTTCTTTTTTTAATTAATAGTATTTATATGAAATATAATACTGTATTTGCTAAATACAGAAATATTTCACTGATAACAATTGACAAAAAATGAATAAGAATATTTATGAAATTTTTGATGAGAATAATTCCTACTTTAATCATTCGTTGGTTAGTTTTTCTTTCTGAAAGTGTTTTTGATTTCATATCAGTGTCATTGAAAATATTAGTAAATCACAACATTAGTTATCACTTGAAGATTACAAAAATTGTTCAAAATTTGATTATCACAATGTTATCAATGATATTGAAATGAAATTACATTTTTATTTTCTCTATGATATGCTAAACAATCCTACAATATTCCTTTCTAACCTTATTTTATTCATTTTTTTTTTTTTTCTTTTTTGATAAAAAAAGACTTACATAAAAGAATAATCCAGCAATAGGTTTACCAAGAGCATGACCAGTTGCTGAATTACTAATAAAATATGAGATTTGATCAATAAAATGTATTACATCAGCTGTAACATTCGCTTGATCACTTAAAGGTGTTTCCGTCTTGTAAACAATTACAACGTATTGTTGCCGATCTACACAAAAAATGAAAAAAGATTTTTTTAAGTATATTAGCAAAAGATGAAGATTACACTTTTCTTTCATCTTCTTTAATTTGTTTATTTATTTATTTATTTCATTTTATTTATTTTTTTGATATGTAATACAATAGCACAATTATTTAGAAGATTTATGTTAATAGCGAAATAAAATTCAATTTCACTGCAGTTCAATTAAGTATTATTTGATTTAATTAATGTGAAGATCGAAAAAAAAAAAGACAAGCGTTCCTTGTAATGTTGGTTAAAATGACATTTCTTGGTTTGATCGTCATATTTGAGAAACTCAATAAAATTATAAGCTCTCAAACATCTTAAATTAGTTAGTTTCAACCATACTTCATGAATTTTTGCTCAAATAATCATTGTATTTGTTCGAAACATGCAAAGTTAGTAGATTTAATCTTTTAAAAGATGGTAAAATTTACATGTATCTTGCAAAGGTACAGTCCCATTACTAATATAACCAAGGAAGCGATGTTTCGAATCACTGATATTTTCAATATTTACTGAAGCAGAACCTGTTGATGGTATGTCATAGTCAATAAGTAATGCAATTGGTCTTGCAGTAACATCTAAATTATATATTTTTGGTAAAATTTGAACACAAAGATTTGGCATCAATTAAAAACAACTGAAATGAAATGAAAAAATGAAAACAAAAAAACAAAAAAAAGGAAAAAGGAAAAAGGGAAAACATAAAAAAATTACTACCAATTAATGAGATAACATGAAGATATCCACCAGAAGTTGGAATTGCTGATTGAAATTGAAATGCTTGTATATTAGCAGTTAAATAATTAGGATAATTGAGCACTTGTATTTCATCACCCAAATGAACAACTGGTGCTGGATGCTCCAAATCAAAATTACTTATATTTACCTGTTAATCATTATTATTAAATAAATGCAGTATTTATACAGTTGTCATCTAAAATTCTCATTACTGATATAACTGAAAAAACGATGTCTCAAATCACTAATATTTTCAATACACATTTATTTATTTTTATACATTAGTAATCATAGCGATGATCAAATCTTCCATTTATGGATGAAAATTTTCAACAGTGACTAATAATTAACACTAAAATATAAGATAAAAAATAATAATAGTATAGAAAAAATGTAAATTTTCCGTTTATTTTATTATTTATGTATTTTTTAAACTAACATAATCAAGACTGAAGGCTGGAAATTGTGGGAATATCTGAGGTGAAAGTTCCAACTCTTCAAACCCTATAAATGATTTAATATTTTCTAATGTTTATTAATTTAAAAAAAAAAATGTAATTGGAAGGATTGTATTTTTTTATTAAAAATTATTCAATAGTATTCAAGTTAATCCTAAATTAGTAAAATCATACAATTTCCAATTGTCATATTATTAGCATCACAACACAGATGAATTATTTCATTGGTTATAATACCAGATCTAGATAAACGACTACGTCGACAAGCAAAATTTTTTGGACATTGATTTCGTTCATTTGGATTACATGGTTTTAGATCCAAATACATCATATTATCTGGACAGATATATTCTTGAGAAAATACATCTGTAAATTTATATCATCTAAATTAAATAAATGTTATTAAACAAATGGTAAATCATTTATTAATTTAGTTGATAATATTGTACGATAAATAAGCAAAACATTTTATATTATAAAATGTATATTATTGATATTTAAGTTGTATGATAAAAAAAATTGAATAATGTATAAATGTGTAGATGTAGTAGAATTAGGTATGATACTTTAACGTTAAAGTAGAGTAACATATTTTAGAAATTAGAAGTGAATCGAAAACGTATTACTATTTATTAATAGGTTAATTTTTTTCCGAATCATTTAGATTTCGGTTACCAGCTGAACTAAATAATATCTTTTGATAATTATCATCTTTTACTTCTTTTGAAAAGATTGATGTAGTAATCCCATAATCTGATGAAATGTATTAAATGAAATGATAGTATGAATGATTTGGATTTTGAATCTTAGTCAAAAAATCATTAACTGAAGCATACTTGACAAGATTGATTGGCAAATGATACTAGTAAGCATATACGGCAACATAACCTAAAAATGTAATTTAACCTTTTGAAAATAGCTTTATTTACTTATAAATGAATATAAGACAATATACATTGGTATTTTTATAATATACATTAATTTAACACTATGAATACCAAAATGTTTGCAGGAAAGATCGTATGTTTGGGAAATTTTTAAATAAATCTCACAGTTAAACTGATAACTATTTAAGGATTTATTTTTTACTACTAAATGATGCTAATGGAAGTAATTCAGAAGGACATTTAAAATATTAGGAAATTTTCAGCTTTCAACTACTGATTATCTATTCATAATGCATTTTTCATTCATCATGAACCATAACAACGATTCCTCTTTAAAATTCTATTTCGCTTGCTTCACAACATAAATTTTTACAGAAGAAAAAAAACGCTTCCGGAATAAGTAATAAATATTTCGATTTCTTTAAAATCAACCATACCTAGAAGTAAAAATAATTCCTCATGCATGTTTACCCATGGCATATGGAATGATGCTACACTTCGCACCGGGCAGCATATAAACTCTGCACGTAGTGTTACTGCAAATTATTCGATAATATTTGCTCAACTGTCTATACCGATCGAACAAAAAACTACCATGTGTTCATTTCACTTATCTTACTAATTATCCGACACACGAAATGAATTTTCTGGATCAAAGAAATAAGTAAGTTTCACGTATACGTCATCCAAGAAAGAAAAAAAAAAAACACTTGTGTAATGAAACAATAAACCGCGGTAAATAATTTATTTAAATTATTAGTAACAACTATTGAGCAAAGAAAGAAAAGCATCACAGAATATGCAAAACAATGTAGGCTTCTAAATTAATCTCTAGGTGAGATCACAAACCTATTTCATTCAAAAAACATTCACATTATGGACAACTATGGTAGCCCAATTTGTTCAATCAATGATTATTATAAACATCCATAAAACGGGAAAAAATGAAACCCTATTATGTCCTACGTACAATTGCATAGCAAAAAACCACAATTTTAAAAAGCAAATATAAGACAAATGGAATGGAGAAAATTCACATCACTATGATTTTTAAGATGAATAAAATAAAGATTATAGCAAGTTTACAAGAATGACAGAACACAAAAGATGTTTCTTTCACGAATAATTAAAGTTACGAAAACCTGATTCGGTAATGGTAAGAACAATAAAGTCCACTTTTTCTGCATGAACTGATATGCTCAAAATATAGATGGTTATGGAAAGTTAGTTAAAACACAGCTACTGTATATATCAGATTTTTCAGGCTAAGAACCCAGTCTACAAACATTCTAACGACTTTGCACGAAGTTACTGATTAGCAAGAGCTCGCAGTTGGCGAAGAATTGTATCCAGAAGTTTTTTACGATCTTTCTCACGACCTTTGGCGAAAAAACTTGATGATTTACGTTCGAATTCAACCAGTCTAAAATCTGACACTGAACAACAGATTTACTGAAACATCAAACTAAAAGTATTAGAAACTCTATCGAGCAGTTAATTGGAAATTCATGCAGCAGTAAATAATGCTGCTTGAAAACATAAAAAAAAATGAAATATCAGTTAACACATACTTCTCCAACAGGACAATCGCATGCGAGGCTTTAACTCTTGAATATTTGCTTTCTTCTTTCCCGTAGTCGGCCAAATAAGTTGGCCAATCAGACTTCATAACTAGGTCAAGAAGTTGTCTCAAACTGGCAAAAGTCATCGCAAGAGTCCCATCCTTAAATAAACTAGATAAGAAGTTAATTACAAATAACGGTAAGTAAGCTGGTACATACTTCCAATCCTGCAACGGGACACTGAGAAGCAAATAACTCGCACTGTATCACATCCAAATCGAACTGATCAAGTGCACCAGTGCTTACAGTTTTCAAATCTGTATTTAGCAGTAAATCTGTTAATCGATTGGCCAAATATTTACAGGTCTAAAACACAACTCATTTAATTGCCTTTATTGTATACTAATTACAAATCTTCAGTTGCATTAAACGCTTAATGGTACTAAACTGTCCTCAAAAAAAAAAAAAAGGACAGTGATCCAAAGATAAACAATTCTCGACCATATCAATCAGAACGAGAGAAGAGAAAATAAGTACAGAATAAAAATTCAGTTTTCAATTGTTCATTGCAAACTATTCATAAAAAAAAAAAAAAAAAATTCATAAAAGGATTCAATTTTTAGTACCTAGTGAGAAACAGCGATATGAAATTATAAAAATGCTTACCTGCATACAAACGTGCCTCGCCAAAAGATTTGGCAAATTAGTAAATGAGACGAAAGTTGTTTCCAAAAACTTGATCAAATCTGTGATGTAATCGCTGGCCCTGCCACTTGAACCTGATAGTTCCCAATCGTAGTTAGCTAAAATTTTATTAAATCCAAAGCATAAAATCATATAACTTATCTTCAACAAATACCAATTCAAACTTCAAGTTTGAAAAACAAGTCGGAAGTAAAACTGACCAAGATCAAGAAAAGCATCTACTTTGTCACGAAGTGCGCTATCAATCTGTTGCTCCACTTCAGAACGCGCGTCTCTAGAAAGCATTAATTCAAAAATGAATTAATGCCCACCCTTTTAACTTTCTTTCGCTCTTTTTTTCTTCAAACTTGATAAAGAAACAAACCTAAAAACTTGATCCTTTAATGTAACTAAATGTCCTGTACTGTTACCAGAATTATTACTTGCATTTGTTAATTTACTAATATAATGTTCCAGCGACTCACACGTCTTCTCCAAATAACCGATATTAATTGTGATTTGAACAAGCTAAAAAATATCGTATAAAATAAACGATTCGGAAAGTTTTTAATTTATCTTTTACATCATGAAATAGTATTATTCGTCAATTCTCCTACCTGTATAAGCGTCCGTTTTTTGTTGGCCACAAAACTTTTCAAAGAACCTGACCACCGTGCAAGAAGCACATTTGCATAACGGCGTACTGTGTCATCAACCTAGAAAATCAACCATATTTGGATAACATTAACGGCACGTCAGCAAAGCTTAACATATGTTAGCAAAGCATTAAGTATGTTAGAAATTTCTAGACCAATAATCAAAAAAAAAAAGTTGAGGAAAAATGACCTCAGTGGGAGAAAGCTGAAGGTGCTCCATAAATTTCAAGCATCCGACGAGGTAATTCTTCGCTTGACAGTACACTGCAGGTACAAACTTAGAAAACGGGAAAACTCTGGGATAAGGCTCCTGGAAAACGCAGAAGACATTTCAATAACAGAGATTCAGTGAAATTGAAAAATTTATGAGAAATCAAGAAAAATGAGTGATAACTATTTATACCTGATCCATTCCTCTTCGATAGAAGGGGAACTGTGTTACTACTGCTCTGAATGCTTCCTCATCTTTTGCTGTGATTGGCGTGTAATTGTCGCTTTCAAGATCTCGTTCAAACTGAGCGCAGTATTCTCGCATCAAAATTTCGTTGTACTGATCTCTGCATTGAAGCAAGACTCATTCCATTTACGAGAAAAAAAAAAAAAAAAATAAATAAATCAATTTTCATTCCGTTATACACGCAATTTCCATAGAAAACTCGATTTAGAAATACCTGAAATTACCTGAAATTTTGGAGCAGAGTGTAAAGAGAACCAATTCCAAATCCATAACTTTTCATTGTCATTGCAAACAACAAAATTACTTTCTTCATCTTCAACATCATTTCAACATCCAAACAACCTCCCTATAGTAAAACTACGATTTACATCGAGAAATACCAGACCAAGCATATATAGTAAAATCAGTACGCTACTATTAGAAGCTTACAAAATGGGCATTCATAGTGGTTGTAACTTGATGCAGTGCCATTTCCCAAAGCTGATCCTTATAAGCTGCAGTCACCAGACTAGATTCTGTTTGCATAATATGATCTTCGACTACGAAAAAGCCGATAATTTCATCCAAATACTTCACATACGAATGTATTGATTCTTGCTAAAACAATTATTTTCATTTGGAAAACCAAAGTTCAATTGTGATTAAAAAAGAAACGATGATGCTTATACTCCAGAAATTATTTCCGAATTATTCAGTAAGCTGATAACGTAGTGCAACTTGTTCAAGTTACTAAGAAGTTATCTTTCAATGATACTTCCTACCAGTTTGCCTGGTGGTCGAATAACAACCACTGCTTGCTCTTTCCGCTGCTTTCTATAGTAGGCTTCGAAAGTCTCTTTCTCACCCTGAAATGAAGAGATTTCATAAGTGACTAAAGCGATCAAGAAAAAAAAAAAAAAAACAGAAGCTTAGGAAACAAATATTAACAAGTGAATGGAGATAAGCCTAGATTTCATACTGCAGAATAGCTATGCTTACAATGACATTAAAGATTTGGCAGCAACGATGAATTGGTGTAAAATCTATAAGATCTTGAGCGCTAAGTAATTCATCTTCTTCGGGAAGAGATATCTGCATTGTTTTTCGTTGTCCCTTATCATTTTTCTTGACAACTGAACCATCCAATGAAAGCACTAAAAATTTCTCAGAAAAAGAATAAAATGCTAATAACACTTGGATTAAACTACCAGGTTTTGCTTCCTAGGTATAACGAAAGTCCAAATAAATATCCTTTGCAATTTCAATCCTGCACTCGATACTGTAATACACATGATAGAAAAAATTAAGAATTTACCGATATCACCATTCACAACATTCTTTTTCGCTTCTTCCTGTAAACGTTTTACACGTTCAGCTTCTGTCATTCCAAAAGAGTGTTGTTCAGCCGTACACTTCGATGCGTGCTGTCCGATACGTCCTGAAAATGATATTACACATCTAATTTACAGAAAACTTATGTCGATTCATATGCTGATAACAAAAAAGATAAAATCGAATGAAATGAGAAAAAAAACTAACCGGAAACTTTTCGGATATCTTCCAGAAAATCTGTGAATTCCGAGAATGATTTTTCCTTGATTTGTTCACGAATTGGAAGCAGTGATTTTTTCAACGTTTGCGTAAAACGATAGTTATCAACATGAACCATATACGTGTGCTCCAATTCTTCAAGTACTTTCAATGCTTGATAAAACCTGCAATTACCAGACTGTTATAGCTTACAAAATAATAAAATGTACTGTAAAGTTGGAAACCTTAGCTCTTCCACGTTAAATCACATTTGGATTTATATCATAAAGAAACATGGGAGAAATTTAACCATCCGAAAAAAAAAAAAAAATAAAGCAATGACTAAACAGGATAGAAAAAAAAAATTTTACTTCTTCTGCTGCATATGTTCATTTAGTTTCGCATAATTTTCAAGCACAGGTAAGCACAATGAAATGTGATCGATAGCAGTATTCGCATTCCTTTGTAGTTTTCTGTAACGTACAATTTCCGCACTACGTTTTCGTAAGTCTTTGCTACTTTCTTGTATTTTATGATCTATTGCGTTGACTTCATCCTGGAAAATCTCCCATCCACAATCAGCTTACATTATCCTCACGTACTAGTACAGCAAATAACATACTGATATTGAGGTAAAGAAAGAAAAGAAGTGACAAATCATAAAATTATATCAATACAAACTAGGAATTTACTGCAATTTCCACTTACTTAATTTTTAATTTTATTTAGTAAAATTTACCTTGATTTCCAAACTCCGTGTCTTCAATTGCAGAAGTTGTTTCATTGCATCAACGTATCCTTGATAATGATAAGAACAAATTCTCTGGATGCTTTTATCATAATGATGGATACGATGCTCTAGAGCACGTGCAAACTTGTGGACATCACCACAATCATAAATTGCTCTGAACAATTAATTACAATTGTTCAAATATCGGAAACGAAGTCTTTTAAGTTCAACTTTAAATGGATAACAGGATAAACTGAATGAATAAATTGGTAGCTAACCTTAGCACCAAACCAACACTACCCGAATCAGTCGTTTCAAGTTCGTACAAAAAAAACTCTTGTTCGGCACTCATTTCCGGATCTATAAAGTATGAAATGTGTATTTTAGAAAAGTTCATATTCATGCAATCTGATGCTAAATGAATAAAAATTGCATCAAATGGCATACACTGCTGATATGAAGTAGAAGCAGTATCGCTACTTCCCGTTCCCGTTTCTTTCGAGGCACTGGCTGCCGACGACTCATCTATGTCCAATTTCTGTATGAGTATGCAATAAGTATGTGAGCGAAAAAAAAAAAAAAAAAGCTACGAAAAGTATAAAATGAGACATAAAAATTATGAAGCAAATACATAAACTGAGGAATACAAGAGCGTATAAAGTTGAGAATAGAAGGCCTGTAGCATATAATAATGATTCATGACATTATTAAACCAGGCTTAAATTCGATTTCAGTATTTAAAAATGAACAATCAATGAACCTTCATCATTCTCAATGTTTTTCAATCAGTAGTTTGTTCGTCCAATATATACCAGTGAATATAAACATCCTGGAAATGATAAATTCCAAAATATGCTATACTTCACTTTATATTAGATCCAAAAAGAATAAACATTTCATATATACATTAAAACAGGAATAAATATGTCAGAAGCAATGTATAGAAAACACATAAAATATAAAACTCATGACATGATGCGTACAAAGTTTATAAACTTACCGGATAATTTAGATGTACAAATACAAAATGGGAAATAAAAACATGAAAGAAACTCCATCAAACCAGTATGGTAAGAGTAGGAATTATTTCCATGACATTACTTTGTTCATCAACTTTCAAAAATAAAAAATAAAATACTGGACCACAGAAACTACACAATAAAACCACCACCTAACCTATACAATTACCTCCTGTAAGAAAGTTCTACAACCATATCGGTCCGAAACAAATACAACTGAAAAAAGTAGACCACTCTTAATGAAACCAATGGCCACTACTATTGGAACGCTACGCCAACCAGTTTCCCGATGGTGTTTTTTCTTTGATTTCGAAGGAATTAGACCACGAATTCCGAAAAAGCACATATTTTTTGAAGATTCTTTCGACTTCCTACGTAGAACAGAATTCCAGCTGATTTTCAACAAACGTAGTCTATTATTTGGCTCGAGAAAGAGAAGGATCATACATGCACTCATAGCCTACTTCCTTCACGAAAGTAATAAACTCCTTAAGTATAATAAACTATCCAGAATTTGAACTTTTTCGTAATTTGGAAATTTTAATATGTGAAGATGAACTCAGACTATGTCATACGAATTTTTCATATCTAACTCGATTATATGAAATGCTTTAATACTGCATTTAGGAGTATTTTTCCAAGCACTAATCAATTTTAATCATGTACATTGTTTTCAGAGCCTCAACTACACACTTCGCTCTATTCGACATAATACGGTTCCATATACTTTTGGTGGAAGTCTACCACCATCGAACACAATATTATTATTTTATCCCACAATGGATGCATTACCTTCAACAAAATAGAGTGAAAATTGCAGAGCAACCGGAATGAATGGATCTGAGATCGTATCGACGGTACCTGAGCTAGCCAGTTATTTTCAAACAGGTTCTATAAACCTTCCAATCATTGTCCAGCAATCTACTGTTTGATATTTCAAGTACTGTGTAATCATTTCCTCTGCCAGGAATTAACCACAGTACATTTTCTCATTATATTAATGTAAACATTAGAAACTGTATAAATCTGTATGTAACGGTTCAGAACGCAATTTTATTTAATACTTAATTTATCACCTAGTACGATTACTTACAGTTATATGTAGTGAACTATCAGCCACTACCGACATCTTACCACTTTAATTATTAGCCAAAATGGGGTACGACATGTTATTTTTGATCGTTGCCTTTACAAGTTGCTCTGATATCCTGAAATTAACTGAAAATAAAGAAGAAAAGGATAAGCTAAAATAGGATTTAGGAATTATCGTGAGACTTAAGACTTCGCCATCTCACAATTAAATGATAAGTCAACCTTCAAAATCCAGAAATGTCAAATATTTGCCGCATTCGTTCGTATGTTATCCAAAAGACTAACGACCATGGCGCCTAAACTGATGTAAAATAATAAATTTAATTTAGAAGGTCTAAAAACTAATCATATATTTTTTTCATATTCTAATAGATATCAACACAATTAATTTACCGATCGGACATAAGATGGCACAAAACCTTTGTACAGTGCAAAAAAGCCTTCCTCCCGACAAATTCGTTTTAGGCAATCATAAGATCCTTTGTATTGATGTGTCCTGCAAAATTAACTGCTTGCAGCGACAATAATACTACCATCAACGAGAAAAAGAACAGAAAAGAAAATAAGAATTTACCTAGAACTTAAAAAGCTAAAATTTACAATTTCTCATCACTGCTGCGCAATTGTACCATTATTCGTGTCTTTACAACATCCGCTGGAGTAGATATAACTGCAGCAGCCATGCCCGAAACAAGACTGGCAATAAAATGTGTGTAATAATTATCCAAGCAACCTTTCGCTATCAACCAATGCTTCGTAAAATCGTAAGTTGCAAGATCTGTGATTACACGATGCGAACAAAAACATGGACTTGTATTTGGAAATAAAACATTCAGTTGCACGTTTAATATATTGTGTGAGACGAAAAACTAATCCGAATTATCCCACACAACCTGGAACATATCAATTTGACTTTCAAAATTGCAACATACTTATACTCACCAGCCATATTCAGTAAAGCTGCTCTTTGAGTGTTTGGAAGCCAACCAGTCCACAAGCCCGTGAAACCGTTACTTTTGTAAAGTACAACAAACACATGGTATGAATTCGGAAACCTGAAGCTATAATTGGAACTGACAGGAAAAAAAATGTAAAAATTTAAAGGAATTAAGAAACTTCAAACATTTTGTATGAAATATTATAAAATGATAACCGAGGCTGAACATTGTCCGACTTTCTCAGTCTCTTAGCTTGCATTTGTACTTTGATTAAATCAGTTGGTGATGCCAAAAACTGCGCCACAGCACCCGAGACTAAACCACAAATTGCTGACTGCCTTAAAAAACCATAAACATTTCTTTATGAAAGTAATTTGTAAGAAAAAAAAAAAAAACGTAAACGCAGTAAAACAAATGTAGGACAACTTTAAAAAACATACCATATTGGAAAGATTTTTTGTTTTTCCTTATCAAAAATTGCGAATCGCATAGTTTCGTAAATACCCATTCGAAATCCTGTGTAAACTGTAATCAAATATATTTATTCCTTAAAAAAAGAAAAGATATTCGACTTGGCTATCTTTGGAACATCGTACAAACAATTAATAACGTAACTTCACAAAAGCTTACTGAGATGCCGATATATTGCTGGAGTAAGTCCACTGAATAGAGAACGAAAGTTTTCACTCTTCACTGAAAAGAGTAGATGAGTTATAAGTAAAAAACAAGTGCAGCTTTATCGGACTAGTCTACTGGATAATTATTACAAAGAATAAGAAGCAAAACTGACAAAAACTTGTTTCTAGAGCTTTTTAACCATGAGAATATGTAATTTTATGTGGAATGAGATGTAGTACAGCAGCAGCACCTACAACTGAGCGAACCAATCTTACAAATGTGCCATGTGGTTCGTAACATTGTAGGAGGTTGAAGATCACTTTTGGTTATTTCCATACGGTTCGGTAACATTTGCAATCGAGTTTTGATGACATCCAAAGGATAAGTTACTATGAAAAAAGAACAAATTATCTTCAAGACATAACGAGCTCATTAAAAAAAGGAAACAAAGATAAACTTACTGTTCAATTGGAATTCAACGGAAAATCTTTCGCTATTATTAAATAGAATGATATAGCAATTAAAATATAAAACTAGTGCTTCTGAATGTCTCACTAGCATCTCTGATTTCAATAAATTCGTAGAAATGTTAGCAATAGTGGGCTCTACTTTAAAGGCACGAATTTAAACATAACTTTTCAAGAACTCCAAAAAAAATACCTACCACTTTCAGCAACAAATGAAGCACAACATGAGAGAACGTATTTAGAACCAATAGCACGCATCGTTAATGACGAATTCATCTGGTGTTCATCCACATCCATTTGTCCAATTAGCTGTAAAAAAAAAAAATCGTAACATTCAATGATATTTCATCATGTCACGATGTTCACATTTACTGAGAATACGCCAAGTGCATATATGCTTGACAAAATACCATACTATTAATGAATGAACATGGTTATTCAGTGCCTACTTATTTGCTCAAATCTAATTAAAACAAATGTGAAATCGCTTCAACATACGACAGAATAAAATATGTACGCGAAGCTTTAAATGAAACGTACCATCCCTGACACTTAAAATTTAAATACTGTTAGGAACCTACAAGCCAGAACTCATCTCCAACCTCAGCACATGTAGATGATGATTCCAATCTCACCGAAATCTAAATCATGTCAGTAGTCATCACACAATGTGTAAATCCCGCATGAGTTTTGTTACTCCATGTTGGAATATGAAAAATCCATTAACGTTCTCTTTTAAGTTCTTACCTAAAATCGTGTGTAAAAATGACGTTTTTTTTTTTATGAGAGGAGGAAATTTTCCTTGATGCACATTTTATGTACTTTTTGATATGATTTAATAAAATTCTGAAATGAGATGAAATGTATATAAAGGGAAAAAGGCAAATATCTAATACAAAGTAAACGAAAAATCCACAAAATTCATGTCATTAGTACCGCAAAAATGCACCACCATCAAAATCCACTGAAAACATGCTACCACCAGCATAGATCGCAGCCTTACTAAGACCTGCAAGCTTCTCCCAAACGACTTCTAAGGCGTCCGCGGAAGCGAATAGTGATAATAATGTTGTTGTAATAAGCGTAGTCATGTCTTCCAATAGATAAAGCTCTGCCTTTTTGCACGAGAATTAGGAAGTAAATGAATGGTTTTCTTGAAAAAAAATTCTTTAACGTTTATGCAGATGTAGAGATGATCCATATAGTGACAAAAAATGTAGTACACAAAGAGAGGAATATCTGTTCCTTATTACGTAACCACTCTAGAGAATAAACCAGTGATCATTTCAAATCCAAGAATAATCCTAACCCCTTGAATACAACAGAGATGGATTTAGCGACCCTGTTCATAAAAATTTTTTGATGGTTCGATGAGACAATAATACACTGAGAAAATTACGAATTCAGAACAAAATACTGAGTAACTTGGTCGAAAATTTATCAGGATCGATTCTCAGCAATGATGGATAACATTATGAAAGTAATTGAATGGGTATAATAAGTAACCTCCATAATGCATGAGGTTTTTTCCTGTTACTTTTTATACTTTTATCATGCCTAAATCAGCATTTTTTAATGAATACCTAACGTTGGTGAAAATGAAATGGTGTAGTGGATAACGAAGACTGAAAAACTGTATTACTGAGATAAAGGACTACAACGCAAAGGAGCTCCGGTCATGGGTTTCAGTTTTGTAGTCTTGGCTAGGGAGTCAAACATACATCAAAAGTACTTTCATACTGCTGTTTCAGAATGCGACTACAACTGAAGTTAACTTTAAGTTATACTGTATCCATAACTTGAGTTATAAATATGAAGCCATGACGAAATGCATTTTATGAAGTCAAGGGAATGGTATGCGATTAATGAAATCCACAAAAGAACATGCAAACAGATAAACATTAATAGCTGGAGAAAAAGTGCAAAAAATGACCGAGCAAAATTGTATAAGTTAACAAGAAAAATACAAAATCATAAAAAAAAAGAATAAAATCGTTTTAAATCGTAATAAAACCTCCTTCCCCCTCACAATTCTTTTTACCGGATTGAAGAATTAACCTGATTAGTAAAAATGAAATATATTTGCAAGTCAGAACATAAAAAAAGAAAAAACTTCCACACTGGAAGTTCGACCTTGCATGAACCCTCTCGCGAATCACCTGCCTTTGCTGATGTCAAAACACATTTCATTCCCATAGTGAATGTTTTTGGATTAAATCGTTTAAACTAAAGTGCTATTTAACATCTGACGTTTGCACACCAGTTTTCCTTCAGGTAAGAAACTATCAAAGAAAATTACGAATTTAATGCAAGCTTGTGGTGGGACCGAAAATACGATGTTAATTTTAATAGAATAATCTAAAATCAATAAATTAGAAAACAGGACATTATTAAAAAGAAAACATAGAATAGAAAAATTATAATAAAGAACAGAACCACTAAAAAATTCTAAAAACAAGAAGAAATAAACGAAAAATTTAAAAGAAAATACAGAGAAGGAAAATTAGAACGCAGAACAAAATTGTTATTTAAAAAATCCTAAAATAAGAACAAATGAAACATTAACGAAATATTAATAAAAAAATCTTAATAATAGCCTGGTTAAATATTAAATCAATAATATTAAAAGAAAAAATATTAAATATTCCGAGAAGATATGAAGTCCAATCTCTTCGTCCTTCATTTTCAGTGAATTGCTGCTAAATCTCCCATTTGATTTCCTCCTGTTTCGTCATAAAAAAAAAAAAAAACAGAAGGAATCATCTGAAAAACAGCAATGAGTGCTATATTATTCTCCCTCGGAAAATATTAAATGTCTTAAATTTCTGGAAGTGTAGCAAGTTCCACTCCAACCTCCTTAACGACATTTTAAAAATTTTCACTCGTCTGTTCATATTTATCCGGTAAAAACCTAGAAATCGACACTGAAGAAACAAAATATGTGAAAAGAAATATCTGATGCGAGGAATGTAGTTTCCATCTGACCTTTCCTTTCTCCGCTTTTTCTTCCCGCCTGCTTCCTCTTTTTTTTTAAATTTTATTTCAATTTTATCTTTTTTTTTTTAATTTTTTTATTTGCTTTTTAAAAAATTTTTTTTTGATCCCTCCACCTCCTCCGCGTTCCTTTGGTCGAAGATTGTACTGCAACGTATATTTTATAAAATTATTGAAGTCTAGGTATTCACAGAGTAATGCAACCGAAACTGGTCACGATAAAATAAGTCTCACCAAAAAATGATAAAAACTTTGACCTGTTAGAATACATCACTTTTCCTACATTGAATCTGTCATATAATTAAAAATTTTTGAAAACTAAGTTATTTTATGAAACCTGTAGTATGTTGGATAACACGCCTGGTAAATCCCAAATTCGACTTCGGCTATATTAAGTTATACGTCATACCAAGTAAGGCCTATAGCTCACCATACGCAAGAGTGAACACTAACTAATTCACCACTCAATAAACCTACTTTATCGAGACCAACCCCCAGGAAAAAACACATTCACCCCTTTCCCACCTCCCACGTGGTTCTCTTCTCGGCAACTGTTGCATAACCCAACCCATTGTGCAACTTTTTTTCCCTTCCAATTAAAATAGAATACACCTGGTCCAGTCAAAGTTCACATGAGTATTTTTGTGAATACGGTGGGAGGATGCAGCGGAGGAGTGTACCCGTCATGAGGAGATTTGTTAAATTACAATTTTCGAATTTAGTTTCTTTTTTAGCTTCAAACTTTTAACTTTTTGTGGAAAATCTTTTACCTTTAAATGATCAGCGTAGATCTTCACGTACAGTTATTTTTCACTTACCAAAATTTGGGATCAAACGAGAATTAACAATATTACATCCAACTTGTGGCATCTAATTCCACTTTAAATTTTATTTTTCTCTTCCTGCAATAGATTTTCCGCTTTGCTGTTCCAATATATTTTCATAGATTTTTTCAGACATCTTTTAAAGAGAAATTTATAAATTTCATCTTGTCGTACAATTTCACCTCTTCTTCTATTGCTGAACAGTGATGTTGATATGATATAACAAGCAATATTTTTCATTTGAACTCTCGTCGCATAATAACCTACCTTGTATTTCACAATTAAATTAGGTTTGATAAGGTATTTACTCGAGACTCTCATAAGAACTTTCTACGACATGAATTAGACGTCAGAATGTCTGTGTTTTTCCGCTGAAAAGAAAACCTGCATTAAATGTTAAGTCATGTAAGGAACAAGAATGTTACCGCACTCAGTCAGAAATGATGTTTAGTATTCATAAGAGATATCCAGATGTTAATGAACTCTCATAAATAAGGGAGCATTAAATGATCAGTTTATTCATCTTTTACATTTTGAACAATTGGAATTGTTTGGTTGTTACAAATCGAGTTATGTTATACGAAGTTGCAAACACTAGCATTAAATATATTAATGAGAATTAAGGAATTTTTTATAATACATATAAAATCTAGGCGATATTATTGTTCTGGCATTAAGATTACTTCATATAAGCAATGGACGAACTTTTCATAATTCCTGATTGTTCAGTGATAATTTAGTCATTTTCAATCTTTTAGCATGAAGTGATCAAGCATAGAATAAATAATCGAAATGCTATGCATTCGAGACATCAAAAGTGATGACGAAATTAATAAAACTAATTAATTATTTTTAAGTTGTAAAAAATCTTACGGTGTCATAAATCATCTCTCCATAAATTTGGCTTCTTAAGATTTATTATTCATGTGACTTTATTGGCTCTCATCATAATCTCTTCTTTTAAATTCCCTATATGATCCTGTCGTAAAAAACAATACATTTAAATTACATTCAAATTTTAATACTTTTGCCAGATGTCTTATAAGTCATTCACCAAATAATTTCGCATTTGTAACTAATCTATGTCTAGATTATTTAAACCCTAATTCCTTTTTCTCACACAATAAAAAATCCTTTGTTAGCAATCTTTGTTTCACATCATTTAAATGTCCTCTGCTGGATATCTAGTCAGTTCAGTTCTGTAAATCAACCATCCTTCATTACGGTTATTCATTCTACATTTTGGGGTGGTTTTTGAATTATATCTTTCGTTACGCGTTGTTATAATGTTGATTTCTCGATTTAATTATCCAAGTTTGAGGCAAAATAAGCTCACTGCTATATCATAAATATTCGAGTACCTGACGACAACCTTTCGCGACAGTAGAAGATAAATTCTGAACTATCCATAAATTGCGTCCTCTTCATTAGTTGCAAACACCCCGCAGGAAATTGAACATTTATTGAAGGCTGGCATAT